CCGAAAAAAAAAAAAAAAAAAAAAAAAACATGGTTCACATCAAAAAATCTCTATGAAAAAACAATCTCCAATTGGCTCCTTCAGAGGCCTCACCACAGGGCACTGAGAGCCAGGGGACCCTGAGTCCCTGGGAGTCGCCGGGGCCCCTCCTCTGTGGAGAGCCTGCCTGGTGCTGAGTCGGCCACGTACCTCGTCCAGGATCTGGGCGCTGAACCCGACCTGTGCCAGCTGGTAGTGGAGGGCATCTCCGACCGTGCCTGGAAGCCAAGAAGCCCAGTGAGACTGCTGTGGGCCGAGGTGAAGGGAGAAACCAAGTCGGGGAAGGGTCCGGCTTGGCCTCCTCCCAGAGGGAAGGAGGTTCTGGTAGGATGGGACGAGCATCGGGTTGGAGTAGAGATCTGGGTCCTGCTTTAGCAGCTACTGGCAGCATAGCTGGGAAGAGAGCCGTCCCCTCCCTCTTCCTGGGCCTCAGCCCCCTCACCTGGGAGCTCCTGGGAGCAGGAATCACGCCCCAGTCACCCTTCCTCCTCCAGCACCAGAAAGAGCTTCGCATCAGAGTTTCATGGAATTTGGGGGAAGTGAGGAAGGCTGGGGATATTGTTGCCTTTTTAGAGATGGAACAGCTGAGGCTCAGAGAGGTGACAGGAGTTGCCAGAGTGCCACATGGAGGGAGGACAGGAGTAGGGCTGGAGCGCGGGCCTCGGGCCTCCGGCTGGATGCCGAGGGGGCTGCCACTTGGTGGCCAGGGACCTGGAGCCTCACCTTCCATGCTAATGATGCTCTGCTGCAGTTTGCTCAGCAGCCCATCCAGCGCTGAGTAGTTGGTCACCTTGAAGGCATGGTCCTCATCGGGGTCCGAGGCAATCAGCTTCAGCTCGTTGTACGCCTTAGTTTTATTAAATGCATCTCCCACCTGCACAGAGGCCCTGGGTCAGTGGGCCAGCACTGCGAGGGCTCTCCAGGCCCAGAGAGAGAGCTGAGCTCCTCCGTCTGGCCTTCAGGGCCCCCCATCACCTCCCTCCTTCTTTCCCTGCTCCCTGTTCTCCCACACACTCTACGTGTGTTTTCCTGAACACACCGGGCTCCTCACCCCTGCCCATGCTATGCCCTCTGCCTGCAGAGCCCTTCCCGCCTCCCCTGTGCCCTACGTCAGCTACTCCTCTTTGTCCTCCAAGACTCAGCTCAGCACCCGCTCCTCCTGGAACCTTCCCTGACGTCCCTCCTGTGGGCTCCCAGGGTGTCCACTGCTCTCCCCATCACTGCTGGGCGAGTGAGCTGTGACCACCACTGGGAAATGAGCCGTCTGCGGGGAAGACCCTGAGTGGGGTGGGGAGTGCGGGGTGCATGGGACACGGGGGCTGAAAGAAGAGAAGTTGGTGAGTGTTTGTGAGTACAGCAGAGTTTGGGTAAGCTGCTTACTGAAGCCCTTCTAGGAGCCCTGGCTTCTCCCCACCCCAGGCTGCACAGGGTCACGAGGTACCCCCAGCGCCTAGTTCTTACCCCAATGGCAAAGCGCTCAACACCTTGCATCTTTGTGGAGTCGATGACAGTTGTGAGGTTGAGGGGGTCCCCGAATATGTCCCCATCAGTGAGCACCACCATGACCTTGGATGCCTTTTCTCTGGAGCCATGGCTTGGTGTGAAGATGTTGTCTCTAAATCGGGGAGAGTAAAGGGAAAGAATTTTGCCAAAGGGATGACTGAGCCCTGCGGAGATTTTATTCACTGACCTGTTTTAGAATTGAAGAGGATTAAGGAGCCCTCCTGGGAGAACAAAGGCCCAAAGAGGGGTGGTGATGTCCCTGGGTACACAGCTGCGTGGGTGGAGGTGAGGCTGCAACACAGGTGTTCTTACCTCTCACCTGCTCCCAATAGAAAGGTGCTGGACAACTAGAGAAAGCCAGTGCACAGCAACGAAGACCCAATGCAGCCAAAAATAAGTAAACAAATAAATTTATTTTTAAAAAAAGAAAAAGGTGCTGGACAGCACTGGAGTCTATTTCTCATGTGTATGTGTGGGAATAATAATGATATTAAAAACAGTGGTTAAGATTTACATAGAACTTAGATGCCAGGCACTCTGGTATGCACCGTACGTATTTTAAGGCAAGTACTATTATTATTATCATTATTATTATTATTATTATTATTATTATTATTATTATCATTATTACTGGCCACGCCTTGCAGCTTGTAGGATCTTAGTTCCCCGACCAGGGACTGAACCCTGGCCTCAGCAGTGAAAGCGCCAAGTCCTAACCACGGGACTACCAGGGAATTCCCTATTATTCTCACTTTAAAAGTGAGAAAATTGGGGCTTCCCTGGTGGTGCAGTGGTTGAGAGTCCGCCTGCCGATGCAGGGGACACGGGTTTGTGCCCCAGTCCGGGAGGATCCCACGTACCGCGGAGCCGCTGGGCCCGTGAGCCATGGCCGCTGAGCCTGCGCGTCTGGAGCCTGTGCTCCACGACAGGAGAGGCCACAGCGGTGAGAGGCCCGCGTACCGCAAAAAAAAAAAAAAAAAAAAAATTAAAACAAAGAGCTGTAATAGGACAACAGTCGTATTTTTCTTTCTAATTTCCCACAGTGGCTAATTTAAAGAAAGCATTCATTAACTTAATTAACTGTTATTTATTAAACACCAAGGATGTGCCAGATAGTACCGCAAAAAAAAAAAAAAAAAAGAAAATTGAAGCATAGAGCGGTTAGGCAACTCGCCCAAGATCTCACGAGTACAAACTGTAGCTGGGATTGAACCCAGGGAGCCTGCCCACTAAGCCCCTCTGATAAGCACTGTGCCCTACTGCTGCTCACAGGAGTCGTCTTTGGAAGAATTTTTGGAGGACTGTCTTGGGGTGTCATCTATCAGCCAAGGCTGGGTTGGAAGACCTCACAGTGTCCCCTTTCAGCCAAGGAAGAGCCTGAACCCCGACCCTCTCCTCTCCACAGTCTGTCCAGCCACCTTCTCCAAGTAGGATGCCTCAGAGCCTCTGGGCAGGGCCGTGGACTGGCACTCAGTAGGTGTACAGGTAATTCTGTTGCCCTCACACTCACAGGACATGCTGCATGGCAGAGGCAGTCTTGGTGACACTCCCCACTTGAGTGATGTTCTGGACTCTGGCGAGGGAGGCTGTAACGTCTTGGCTGTCCTGAAGGTCAAGCTCTGTCTGGATGACTTCCCCATACTGCACCAGGGCAAAGCTGCACTGCAGGGGAGGGGCCGAGAGGGAAGGAGTTTGGGAGAGTTGCCCAAGGCCACCCCTGCCCCTTAGATGGCTCCGCCTGGAAGCAGTGGAAGAATCCACTCATTCCTCCTAGTTTCTGGGCAGGAGGAGATGCTCAGGCAGAGGGAAATCTCTAAGCCAGTGGGGGTGGAGGAAGGTGTGATAGTAATGGCTTCCAGTGAATCACAGACTTCTCCTTGAATCCATGTCCCTGTGTAGTCCCCCTCTTCCACACTGACTCCGGGATAGGCCAGGTGACTTGCTTTGGCCAATGGGACATCAGCAAATGTGATATAATCAGAGGTTTGGAAAGTGCTTGCCATGAAAGAGTTGGGCTGGGCTGCTGGAGACACATGGTCCAGACAAGCGAGGGCATCTTAGGGTCCAGTCAAGCAACCAGATGTCTGCAGCTGCACGAATAACTCTAGGCAAGACCAGCAAAAGAACCACCCAGCTGAGCCCAGACCGAACAGCCGACCCATAGAAGGAGAGCAGATAGCGCTGGTGGGTTTTGAGGTGGTTTGTTCCCAGCGGTGGATAACACACGAGCTGTGTGAGTCCGGCCCTTAGGGAAGCCCACCTCAAAGCACTTCTCATAGATGCTCTTCATCACGTTGGAGATGAAGTCTTTGGCTCTCTGGAAGTCTGGGGGATCAATGCTTCCTGAGCCATCCAGGATGATGGCGATCTCGGTGCCTGGGCCAAGACAGGGAACAGGTCAGGAGTGCGCTTGGCATCTGGGGCAGGAGTGAGGGCAACTCTTCCTGCCCTGAAGGGCACCCACCCAATTCAAGCCCTGAGGACTCAGTTCAGGGAGGGCATCGGTGCTGCTCCCAAGAGTGAAGCCTTTGTCTCAGAGGCAGAGAGAGAGCCAGAACCTGCTCAGGCTCTGATTTGCTGCGTGAGTCACTCCCAGCACCTCCACTCTCTGGGCCTCAGTTTTCCCAGCTGTAAGACGGAGAGAGACAGGGCTGGGACTGGCCAGGCCTGTAGAATCCAGCCACTGCTCTCCATCTCTTGGACCTAGGCACACCTCAGCCCTGGAGGTCGCCAGCCTAGGGAGTCAGCACTGACAGCTCTGGGACCGATCAGATTTGCCTCTTCTCACCAGCTGCCCCCTCGGCCTCGGCCTCTGTCTCCTCCTCCTCCACCTTCAATTCCCGGCGCGGCCTGGCTGTGTTCTCCGTGCTGCCTTTTTTGTTCCTGGAGCAGCCTCCAGCATCCACAGGGGCATCAGGGTCCAGTAATTTTTCTTTAAAAAGTACACATGGAAGAGCTCAGAGTCAGATGGCCTCCTCGTTCACCTCCAGGTAAGCCTGCTCTTAGCTCTGCCCTGGTTCCTTCACACGGGGCCTAAGCCTGCCTTGCCCTCTCCGGGCCTCTGTGTCCCTCTGCATCTACCACGGGCTGGCGCCCCTTCTTGCAGACCCCAGGATATCCCTTCAGAGCTGTCCAACGAGGGTCCAGTCCTTACCAAGGTCGGAGAAGTGGACCTGGGCACGGGGACGGAGGTCAGGGGCCAGCAGGATGCAGTTGCCTGTGAGCTCTGAGCTGAGGCTCTGGGGCCACCGGGTCGTCACTTGAATGCAGATCTAGAGGAGGGGGAGAAAAGGAGGGGAAAGCCCGGGTCACCCCTAGCCCAGGCCCCCTCGTCGCAGCCACACCCACACCCCCACGTCAGAACCCAGTGGCTGAACCAGGCAGGGGACGCAGGAACAGCTTGCTCACCCCTCACCAGGGGTAGGAGTCGCTGCCAGGGTCAGTGTGCTGGGTCACACGGAGTACCCAGCCCAGAGCCGCTGTCAGCCCTGGGGCTGCCGGGGATACAGTTGGGCTCAGCCCTGAGAATAACACGCCAGTCAGGACTGGTATCCACACGGTCAACCACAGGGGTAGCACCAGCTCCCCAAGGCCCTCCACCCTCCCTCGCCACGCATACTCACCAAAACACCATGGTGGTTCCGGACAACTGTCACTCCACGGTACCTCCCCTTTGGGATGGGGACATTCTCTGAAACAGTGAGGCCCAGGTAAGGAGGGAGGAATGCTGGGAGGCAACCCAGGGGCCAAGGTCAGAGGGCACAGGGCCATCTTGGTCAAAGCCCCATGAGGAAGAGCTGGCCACTCAGAGCATCCTCTAGAAGCTGGATGGCGGGGCGGGGGGGGGCATCCTCTAGAAGCTGGATGGCGGGGCGGGGGGGGGGGTCTTCAAGGACAAGCCTCTCTCCCAGGCTCATTTGGTGTCTCATTCAACATATGCCCCGTGATGTCTGCTCTGTGCCAAGCCTGCGACAGATGGTGATAGGGATCCAGAAACACTGAGACCTGGTGCTGGTCGTCCAGGGGCCCCTGGGCTGCTGCGCAGGCAGGCAGAGAAGCACCAGCTGGCAGGTATGTGCAGCACCAGGGAGGAATGGCAAGAGGTTTGGGGACTGGCCCTAGAATCCAATGAACTCTCCCCTCTCAAAGTCCTGTCTCCAGGGGATCTTACTGCCCCACATCCCCAGGGGCAGAAGTGTAGCTCCTTCCCCTCCCGCCCCACTGTGGGCCTCAGGAGACTTGCATTTTTGAGTCCCAGGATCACTCAGTCACCCTGCTGGACCGTGTGCCCTTCTGAGGCAGAGACGGAGGCTGTTCAACACAGCGCCTCCCACAGAGACCAGCACTCCACCTGACATGGCCCAGCGGTCGTCAGCAAAGTGGGCCTTCAGTTGGGCTGGGCAGGATGGGGGGAGTTTGTTTGGTCAACGAGCGAATTAGGTCCATTCCTTTGTTCATTCAAACAGCATTACTGAGTGCCTAATATATGGCAGACCCCATGCTAGGCACTAGGATGGCCACAGTTAGATTGCGGGGGCGCGGGGTGGGGGTTCCATTGAGGCGTGGTGAGTTGCGGTAGGTTGGGTTTTGGAATCGGGTGGAGTTGGGTTTGCATCTGTGGTGCTGCTCAGATGCGTGACCTTAGTCATAGTGGAAACCAAAGGACTTCTCTAAACTGTAGCTTTCTCTTCTGTAAAATGGTGTGGTTTTAAGGATTAAAAGTCCGCGAACCACTTAGCAGAGTGTCAGGTGACTCAGTAAGCGCTCCATCCATTTTAGGTTTCATTTTTGTTGTTAGGATTGGGTCCGGAATGGGGGGCTGGGGGTTAGGGTCGGGTGGGGATGGGATTGGGCACCAGGATGGAAGGCTTGCTGTGGCTGGTGGTGGAGGCTAGGGTGGAGAGACTGGAATGGTTGGGCTGGATGAGTGGGATTCCTAGAAAGGAGGTCCTGGGAGCATTCCCAGGAGCAGGGGCTGACTTACCTACTGGCTGGCAATGGAGCCCATCCTGAATGAGGGAACACTGATACAGGGGCCCTGCCGTCCTGCTGGTCCTGGAGCTGGTTACCAGGAGCCTGAGCGAAAGAGTCGGCAGCAAAGTTGAGCTGGTCAGCGATTCCCTTTTCCTCCCTGCCTGCCCAGACACAGTCCTTCCATTCCAGGCCCACAGACCCACAGGTTCCCTGTGGGGAAAACTATGGAGAAGCCCAGACCTGGAAAGGCGGGCAGGCTCCCAGCCCAGGATGGTGGATCTGCATTACGAGGGAGGCATGGGCTCAACCTCTGCATAGCTCCAGGCAAGAAATGGCTAAATGCATCCCCTCTCTGCCTGCTGGCCCACCCTGACAGACATGGGGTGATATTGGTGGTAAATAAAGACTCGCTGCTCTTTGATGGCGGTGGGGGGAACCAGGAAGCCACCAGCAGCACAGCTGCTGCTGTTAGGGACAGAAGCCTTCCTTCTGTTGCCTTCCTAGTGGCTGCAAGGGCACCTGCCCCACCTGGCCCCAGTGACAGCACTTCCTGAGAAGAGCACACTTGTACCCCTCTCCTAGGGGCAGGTCAGAACTGGAGGTTCTGGGCCCCTCAGGCTGGTTAAGGCAGCCTCAGGAGATGTGATTCCCAATGGCAAACTCTGCCCCCTGCCCAGGGAGACAGCAGAGAGCCAGCGTCAGCCTAAACACTCTGTGTGCATGCTGCCCAGGGAGGATCAGGGCTGCCCCGAGACAGGGAGAGAGCTCCCCATCCTAGGAGCTGTGAGTAGGGGGTGTTGGGGAAGGGGCCCGAGGCTGAGCTTGATAACAGTGAACCAAGTCCAAGGTTTTATGCTGAAGGCAGTAGGAAACCACGGAGGGCTTTATAAAGGGGAAGCTTTATAAAGGGGATTAGACAGGTCATGATGAGTTACGGTGGTTTGGGGGCCAGGAACGAGGTCATGCTTCCACTTCCTCATCTCCTGTTACTTGACATTTTAAAAAATTATGAAATGTATCATTCACTTATCTCCATGGGTGACAGGATAATAATAAAATCTACACCTGTGTGTGTGCCCTACCCAGCTTACCCCAGCCCAAGCTGACTTCCACCCCTGACGGGTCCTGTCGAGGTGAGCGGTGGTCCACACATCGTCAGATCCAAGGGACACCTTTCTGCCCTCATCTTCCTCAACCTCTCAACAGCCCGGGGCAGAAGTAACCGTCTCTCCCTTGAACCACTTTCTTTTTGGTTCCCCTGACCTCTCTCACTACTCCTTCTCAAACTCCTTTGCTTGCTCATTCACTGTCTGACTTCTAAATATCACTGGTGTCCCGGGGCTGGGTCCCTGTTTTCCTTGCCCACACACTCCCTGGTGACTGATCCCCCCTCCAATCCCTGGCTTCAATACACCTGTCAATGCTGACATTCCCACCTTTATATCTGCAATGCTAGCATCCCTCCACCAGAAGCCAGACCAGCGCAGCTCTAGAAAGCAGAATAATGACCTGCCCCGCCCAGAAAAGTCCACGTCCTAACCCCCAGAGCCCATGAATATGCTACTTTTTATGGCAAAAGGGACTTCGTAGATTAAGTTAAAGATCTTGCGTTGGGGAATTTATACTGGATTATCTGGGTAGGCCCAATGTAATCACAAGGGGGCCTTATCAGACCCTTTAAAAATGGAGGAAGGGGCCACAAGCCAAGGAATGCAGGCAGCGTCTAGAGCCCAAAGGAAGTGAGGAAACAGATCCTCCCCTGGAGGCTCTAGAAGGAACACAGCACTGCTAATACCTTGATTTCAGCTCAGTAAGACCCACTTTGGACATCTGACCTCCAAAACTGTAAGAGAGTAATTTGTGCTGTTTTAAGCCACTAAGTTTGTGGTGAATTGTAACAGCAGCCCTAGGAAACTAATAAATAAACAACTGCCCATTGTCTAATAGGCATCTCAAACTTAGAATGTTCGAAACAGAACTATGGTCTTGCTCTCCGTTGCCTGAACTGAACCGTTCCATCTTCCCTGACACAATACATGGCACCACCAACCACTATGTTCTGAAGTCCAAAGCCTGGGGGCACCCTTGCTTCATCTTTTCACTCAACCCCTTCATCAAATCCATCAGTAAACCCTGTTGGTTCTTCCTCCAAACTATATCTAGAGAGCATCTCTTCTCTCTGTTTCCCCTGCCACCATCATCTTGCCTGGTATGTAGTAATAGCCCCCTGTTATTTTTTTCTGTTGTTTGTTTTTTAAATTTGCTCTTGGGACCTCCCTGGTGGTCCAGTGGGTAAGACGCCGAGCTCCCAATGCAGCGGGTCCGGGTTCGATCCCTGGTCGGGGAACTAGATCCCACATGCATGCCGCAACGAAGATCCTACGTGCCTCAGCTAAGACCGGCGCAGGCAAATAAGTAAATAATAAATAAATATTTGTTTAAATAAAATAAAACATAAAATAAATTTACCCTTGTAGATTACACCACATCACTGCCCTGTTTCAGCTGCCTCCCGTGCACTTAGGTGAAGAGTCCATACCGCTTGCTGCAGCCCACGGGGCCCTGCACGATCTAGCACCTCCCCACCGCTGAGACTCCCCTCCTGCTCCTTTGCTCTCCAAGCTCTAGCCCGGCACTGGCTGGCTTCCGTTCCTAGGCTGCCCCCAGCTCTTTCCCGGCTTGGGCCCTCTGACTTGCTGCGCCCCCTCTCTCCCCAACCTGGCTCATTCTCATTCCTTGGCCTCGCTTAACTGTCACCTCCTCACAAACGCTTTCTCCAACCAGCCTCACCTCACAACCCTCTGCTGTGCATCGTCCCATTTATTTCCTTCCCAGAACTTGTCCCCGTTTGATGGCATCCTGTTTACTTGTTTACTGTTTATTATCTGTCTCTCTCCCTAGACTCTAAGTTCCCCAAGGAAACTTACAGTCTATGGGGAGAGGAGCTTGGTAACAGTGAACCAAGTCCAAGTCCTCACAAGTTCCCCAAGTTCCCCTTGCCTCTCGTTTGCCATGTTATTTCCAGCACCTGGAACAGTGGCTGGCACAGAGCACGGGTTTGGTAAACATTTGTTAAATGACGACTGAACAACAGCCGAGGCAGCACATGAGGGGGCTAATCTAGGGCAAGGCTGAGGGGCAGAGGACCATGTGCAGCTGAGCTCTGTGGGCTTGCAGCTGAGCCCCTAAATTAGGTCGCCTGCTCAACAACCTTGCCTCTTTCCACAGACCCCTCCCAGCCCGAGCCTCAGCCCTGGGCCCAGCACCTTATTCTCTGCTCCCCCGTAAAGGGCTCAGAACTGGGATCCAACCCAGCCACGTCTTGGTAGGGTAGGTGCAGGCCTGGAATAGCCTCAGCTCTCCTTCCTCCTTTAGGCCTTGGCCCAAGCTGTTTCTTCCACTTGCAATGCCTTTCAGCTCCTTTTCCTGCAGAACAATCTTCCCAAGTGCCAGCTCCTCAGGAAGCCTTCCCAAAAGAAGGAGCACCTTGAACCCCTCCAAGCCCTCCAGGAAGCCCTCACCACTGGACACCTACACTTATCCCTGGCTTTTGTTCCCACCTAGACAGTGAGTTCTTGAGAGACCACCATGTACAGCTGCACAGGCTGTTCACTGCAGAACCCAAGGTTGCCACCCACATCACAGTCACGCAATGCCAGGGGCCCAGGGCCCCGTCTGAGCTGCCTCTGCCACCTGCCCCTTTAACCACATCCACCATGGTGGGTGGTCTCTTGATCTCCAGGTTTACCAACTGAGTGGCTGGCAAACTAAACTATAAATGAGCTCACCATCAGCTGACAGCCCCAGGGACCCTATCACACCTGGGCTGAGTGCAGCCCATCTCCTGGCTTCACCCAGCTGTAACTCATCTCTGTCCTCAGAGTCTATTCCCATACCGCCCAGGGGGAAGGCCTTCGTTATATTCCACTCCACCCCACTGCAGCGGCCAAGTCCATGATGCTGCCAGCCCTGGCTGTTACAACTTACGTAGAAACAACATGAGTGAGAGGCACGTGTCACCCTTGCACGAGGAGCCCAGCCTGTTCCTCTGCGGCCGGGGCGGCCAGAAGCACGTTTCCTGCCCTGTGCAGCAGCCCGTGGTCTCAGGCTCCAAGGTTTGAGGCAGGAACCCAGAGGTGTCTCCCACCACATCCTTCCCCACTAGCACGTTCAAACCCGTGAGACCCTCTCTGCTTCAGCAGGTGTCCAGGGAGGTTTTCTTGGGCCCAAGTGGGCTCTTCCCCCCACCCCTGGGGGGCTCGGAGCCTTCTGCTCTGGGTACTTCAAAGTCCCCTCTTCCACTGTGGCCTTTCAGCTTAGCTTTTTTTTTAATATATAAATTTATTTTATTAATTAATTTTTGGCTGTGTTGGGTCTTCGTTGCTGCACGTGGGCTTTCTCTAGTTGCGGCGAGTGGGGGCCACTCCTCGCTGAGGTGCCCAGGCTTTTCATTGCAGTGGCTTGTCTTGTTGCGGAGCATGGGCTCTAGGCACGTGGGCTTCAGTAGTTGTGGCTCACAGGCTCCAGAGCGCAGGCTCAGTAGTTGTGGCGCATGGGCTTAGTTGCTCCACCGCATGCGGGATCTTCCCAGACCAGGGCTCAAAAAGGTGTCCCCCGCGTTGGCAGGCAGATTCCCAACCACTGCACCACCAGGGAAGCCCTCGGCTTGGCTTCTGAGGGAGGGGGGTTAAAGTCTGTTGGGTCTGAAGCTGGAGTGGTGAGGGCCCTGCTGGGGTACTGGAGGGAGGGGGCTCGGCAGGAGATGGTCACAGCATGGCCGAAACCCGGCCTCAACCTTGATGAGTGCGGGGAGTGCAGGACGCTCACACATTGCAAACTTTGGGAAAACTGAATGCTGACCCAGCGTAGAAGCCACGATCCAGCAATTCCACTGCTGGGCACCCTGTGCCTGATAAAAAGAAGTGCATTCACCCAGTGAAAGAAAGTACAGAACTGGGCCAGGGGTGGAGGCGGGGGTTAACTCTCGCCTGGGATGTGCGTGGAAGGGAGCACATGGCTGCAGGGGGCTTATGCGAGGCTGGTCCTGTTCTGCCTCGATCTGGACGCTGCTTACGTGGGTGGCTCACTTTGTGAACATTCACTGAGCGGCACTCTGATGACGTGCAGTTTTCTGTGCAATAGTGCAGCAATAGATCTTTATCAAGACAAAACAGCAATGCTTACCTTTAATTCTTCCTGGAACCAGAACATTCCTAACAACCTTCTCACTGCCCTTCAAGCCTTTCAGGCTCCCCAAACCTTTGTGCCGGGTGACAAAGCACGGCTCACCTCCCCCATCCAATGTCTCATCACACTCAGTTTCAGCCACCGACACCTTCCCAACCCCCCCACCTGGCTCAGGCTGGCTTCCAGACTTCTGACCAAGCAGCTCTCAGCCCCGATTCCCCCTCCCATGCCTTCTCACACTAATTCCTACTCAGCCCCTAAGTCCCAGTGTCAAGGTACATCCTTTGGCTGAAGGACACACATGCCTCTATGTCCCCAACGCACCCTGGACGTCCCCACAGAGCAGTCTTCACTCCTCCTGTCATCGACCAACTTGTCTGTTTCCCACAAGAGCCTGGGAGCTCCATGAGGGCAGGGACTGTCTCCTTTAGTATCTTATCCCCCTAGCTTTGCCTGGCACTGAGGAGATGCTCCATAAATACTGATGAATGAATGAATGAGTGAATGGGCCCTGCCCTCACCACTTAAATCTAATGGTCACCAGCGTCTTCACTGGACAGTGAGGAAATCAAGCATAGGGTCCGAGCCCGCTTGGCTGGCGTGGCCATGGCCCAAGTCCAGGGCTATGAGGCTGCCTCGGGAGCCACCACTGCCCACCCATCTGCTACCAAACAGAGCTCCACTCAGCCAGGAGCCCTGAGTGCCTCACCTGGCTCTGCCCCCAAAGCTATCTGGACCCTGGGCTCATGGCTCAGGGTTGCCGGGTCTGAAGGAAACCCCTCACCGTGGACCAGAAGCAAAGCAAAGCAGCGGCAGGTGAGGGGTGGGGTAGGGAACCAGCCAGGGGCAGCTGGGCAGTGGAGTAAGCACAGAAAGAGCCCTGCCACGAACAAGACAGGGAGAGGAAGGGCTGCTCTAGAGTAAGGGAGACTAAAGAGTTACAGCCACGATATGCAACACAGGAACTCTGACTGAACCCTGGCTTCAAAATGAGCAGTTCTAAACATCATCTTGGTGACAACAGGGGACCGTTGGAGTGTGTGTCGTGACCCTTCACTGCAGAGCTTCTCCTAAAACCAAAGACATGTCCCTAATCAGCACACCACCACTACCTCCATCTGATAGAATCTACATTTGATTTACTTGCTTATTGTCTATTTCACCTGAGCATAAGGATTTGTGTCTGCTTTGCTCACCACTGTTCCCTCAGGGCCTGGCACACAGTAGGTGTTACTGTATAAATGCTTGCGGAGTGAATGGCCATGGTATAAATAATTCTACAACTTGCCTTTTTCATTTTACAATGTGTTTCGAGACTGACCCGGTTCATAACCACTGCACTCAATTCGTTCATTTTACCTGCTTTCAGTGTCGCATTGTATGATTCACACCTTATGTCTTCCATTTTTCAAACGATGCTTATTTCAAAACAATGTCCCAGTCAATATCTCTAGGTGTGCCCCAAAAGTTCCCTAGGGTTGGAATCTGGGGGTGGAATCACTGAATCAAGGGCTGCCTGCATCCTCAGCTCTACCTGATACGGCAAAATGATTCTCCCAGGTGGTTATACCAACTCACATTCCTACAAGTTCCTGTTTCACCACATCCTTACCAGCAGAATGCTATCAGACTTAAAATGTTTTACTTATCTAATGGGTGGGTACAGATGAGAAGTTGAAAATACAAAGTAATGTGTATTGATCTTAAATTTGGCCAGAAATTGTGCCAGACACTTTATGTGCATGAACTCAAATACTCTTTGCAACAACCCTGGGAGGTAGGAAAGTATCACCCCCATTGCAGAGATGAGAAACTGAGGCTGCGGGGTTGCGTGCCTTGCTATAAATACAGAGCGAAGCTGTCACCGAACCACGGCAACCAGATGCACAGCCTCCTCATAACCACCACGCCCGCCTGCCTCAGATTTTCCATTTAAAAGAAATATTTTCCGTCACTGTCCAAAATTTCTATGTTGAGCATGTTACTTTTGTAACAGACAAAAGAGCCTTGATAAACTTTATTTTAAAAGTTTTTTAGCCTCCCCTCCCCCACCCCTAGAGAGGCCAGGGTGAGGAGAGAGGCCAGGGCTGGGAGAACAGGCCCTGACCTAATGGCCTCTCCCCTGCACGCCCTTCTGAAAGGGGGTTCCCCAGGCTGGGGTGTGGGGTGCCGAGGTCTTGTCTGGGGGCCTTCTCAGGCTCCCGGAGGACTCATCAGTCCTCACACACCCCGCCCCGCGCGCCAGGCCCCACTCACCAGGTCTGGTTGGTGCTGGAGTCCTGATGCAGAAGTGAGCTGAGCACGTAGGGGACGTCTCCCTTGGGAGTCACCCAGGTCTGGACCATGTCCACGTTGAAGGTGGCCAGGGGAGCCAGGCCTGAAGAGAAAAAAAGAACATTTAACAAAAGAGGCACCGTTATTCCATCACATCCTGCATTGCCACTATCTCCATTTTACAGATGAGGAAAGCAAGACTCCCAAGGATTTTTTTTTTGGATGAACCACACGGCATGTGGGATCTTAGTTCCCTGACCAGGGATCAAACCCATGCCCCATGCAGTGGAAGTGCGGAATCTTAACCACTGGACCACCAGGGAAGTCCCCCGCCTACCAAGAATCTTTTTTCCATGGGAATAAGACTGGAATGCAGGCGTGTCTGACGCAGAGCCCCTGGTCCTCCCACTAAACCAAGCTGTGTTGGCATCAAGTCCCCCTCCCCCAGGAGGCCTTCCTTGGTTCTGTCCCAGAGCACTTGCTACCGTCTCACACCTCCCACTGTGCACTTTCTATACCTGCCACGGAGCACATGCTCATCACCGTGTCATGTACCAAAGTTAAAACAGACTACGGGCCCCAGGGTGAGGGTCTGCATACATTCTGTCTACGTACCTGCCCATCAAGTGACCCAAGAGAAAACACATGTCCTCAAAAATACCTCAGAAAAAGAATGTTTATAGCAGCTTTATTTGTAACAGTCCCAAACTGGAAACAACCCAAATGTCCATCAACTGGGGAATCGATAAACTGACATATTCAGACAATGGAATACTACTCAGGAGTAAAAAGGAACAAACAATTGACACACACAGCAAGATGGGTGAATCATGAATATCATTACGCTCAGTGAAAGAAGTCTTACATAAAAGAGTATCTACTGTATGATTCCATTTATATGCTGTTCTAGAACCAGCAAAACTAATCTATAGCAAAAAGAAAATATTGCCTGGGCTAATGCGGGATGGGGATTAACGGGGAAGGAGCAGAAAGGAGCTTCCTGGGGTGATGGAAATATCCTATATCTCTATAGGAGTTTGGATTACAAAGGTGTGCATTGTCAAAAATACATCAAATGGTCCACTTAAAATTTGTGTGTTTCACTGTAGGTAAATTTTACCTCAAAAAAAAAAAAAAAAAAGAACTATAAGGAAATATTGAACTCTAGTTGATATGTATGATGAAATGTTTAGGGATGAAGTGTGCTGATGTCTGCAATTTACATTGAAACGCTTCAAAATATAAGACGGAAAAAAAAAATAAGACGGCTTGATGGACGGATAGATGAATATATATGGATGGATGTTTATATATAGATGGATATAAATAAACATTTTTATATATGTCAATTACAATTGTCAACATTTTGTTATATTTGCACTATCACACACATACTTTACATATATGTAACATACAAAAATATATATATTGTAAAATCTATACATTGTAAAATCTAAGTGTTGTATGTGGTTGTCCACTGCACAAGTTTTTCAAATTTTCTGTACGTTTGAAATTTTTCACTAAAAATTTTGGGGGAAAAATTGATACAGATTGTCCCCCAAAGAGGCTGTGCCAATTCATATTCCAACAACAGAATGGAAGGCCTATTTCCTCACAGCATCTCTTGAGCAGACTGTGCGGACCTCCTCATCCTTGTTTTAAAAGAGTATCTCATCATTTTGTTCCCAAACTATTTTTTAGGGCTTCCCTGGTGGCACAGTGGTTAAGAATCTGCCTGCCGATGCAGGGGACACGGGTTTGAGTCCTGGTCCAGGAAGATCCCACATTCAGCGAAGCAGCTAAGCCCGTGCACCACAGCTACTGAGCCTGCGCTCTAGAGCCCGCGAGCCACAACTACTGAAGCCCACGTGCCACAACTACTGATCCCGTGTGCCACAACTACTGAAGCCCGCGTGCCCCAATTACTGAACCCGCGTGCCACAACTACTGAACCCACGTGCCACAACTACTGAAGCCCGCGCGCGCCTAGAGCCCATGCTCCGCAACAAGAGAAGCCACTGCAATGAGAAAGTCTGCACACCTCAAGGAAGAGCAGCCCCCGCTCGCCGCAACTAGAGAAAGCCTGCGTGCAGCAACGAAGACTCAACACACAGCCAAAAAAAATTAATTAAATAAAATTTTTTTAAAAGCCCAGCTCTTTAAAAAAAAAAAGAAAATTTGAAAAAAAAAAAACCTATTTTTTAAATTATGAGTAAAGTCAAGCCTCTTATTATAAGTTTGTTTCCTGCTTATTCATATACATTATCCATTTTTATGAGGTCTTTATTGTTTTCTTACTAATTTATAAGAGCTTTTTGTCCAAAAGAAATTGTCAATGTGTTAGAGACTGTTTCTCACTTAGCTGTTTGTCTGACTGGCTTATATTTTTCCCCACATCTACATTTATTATGTAGTCAAATTATTTTTCCTGTATGACTTGAGTTTTGTGTCACGCTTCCCCACTCAGGGATTATATAATTCACTCATGTTTTCTTCGATATTTTCTTTGTTTCATTCCTTATGCTTGAGTCTTTGATTCATCTAGACTTTATTTTTGCATATATCCAGCTTTACTTTTTCTCCCCCCAAAATGAAATTGTCTCAACATTACTTCTCAAATAGCTCATATTATCCCTGCAGATCTGAAATACCACCTTTATCATTCTCAGAATTCTCATGTGCATTTTGGCGTCTCCAGGGACTCAGTTCTGCCCCACTGACCTTACTGTCTCCTGCTTGGACACATTCATTAGTCTCCTGACCTTTCTCTTCCAAGACTTCTCCCTCTGGGTACATCCTTTCCGTACCAGTTGCCAGAAAGAATTTTTAAAAGCATGCTACTCCACTGCTTAAAATTCTAACTTCTTGGAAATTAAGCAATGTACTTCTAAATAACCTAGGGCCAAAGATAAAATCATAATGGAAACTTTAAAATATTTTGAACTGAATGAGAATTAACATAGGACAAATCAAAACTTGTGTGATACAGTTAAAGCAGTGTTTAGAGGAAACGCAGAGGCTTAAATGCATATGCTAAAAAAAAATTAAAAAAAAAAGAAAGGCTGAAAACCAGTTACCTAATATTCCATCTCAAAAAGCTAAACGAATAGCAAATCAAGCCCAGAGAGAATACAGGAAGAAATAAAGACATGAGCATATATCAGTGAAATAGAAAACTAACCTATAGTAGGGAAAATCAACAAAGCTAAAGTTTGTTTTTTAGAAAGAGTAATATAACTGATAAAACCCCCTAGCAACACTGATCAAGAAAAAAAAAAAAGGCAAACACATAAATTACCAATATGAATGAAAAGAGGACATCAGAACAGAGCCTAAGACATTTATGAAATAATAAGAGGATAGTATATACAACTTTATGCCAGTAAGCTTGACAATTTAGGTGAAAAGGACAGATTCTTTGAAAAGTAAATTTACCAAAACTGACAAAAGAAGTGAAATCTGAATAATCCCAAATTTTAAAAACTGAATCCATTAACTCCAGGCCCAGATGGCTTCACTAGTGAGCTCTCCCAAACACGTAAAGAAGAAATACCAATCTTACATGAACTGTTCCAGAGAAGAGAAAATGAGAGAACACTTTCCAATCATTTTGTGGGGCCAGCATGACACTGATATTAGCACCTGACAAGAGCGACACATGAAAGGAAAATTAGCCATCTCTCTCTTTAACATAGATGCAATACTGCTAAACAAAACATTAGCAAGTCAAACCCAGGGGTATATAAAAAGCATAATACCTTACAACCAAGTGGAGTTTATTTCAGGAATGCAAGAAAGGTGTGACGTTCGAAAAGAATCAATTTATTTATCACGTTAACAGAAAAAAGAGGAGAAAAAAAATCATATGATCATTATGATAGATGCTGAAAGAGGTATTTGATAAAATACAATACTGATTTGTAATTTTAAAAATTCGCAGCAAACTAGGAATAGAAGGGAATGTCTTTAATCAAGAGTATCCACAAAAATCCTTCAGCAAACATCATTCTTTTTTTTAATTTTTATTTTTTTAAAAAATTTTGGCCATACCATGCGGCACGCGGGATCTTAGTTCCGCAACCAGGGATAGAACCCGCGCCCCCTGCGGTGGAAGTGCAGAGTCTTAACCACTGGACTGCCAGAGTTATTTTATTTTATTTTTATTTTATTTTATTTTTTTATTTTATGCCACGCAGCTTGTGGGATTTCATTACCCCGAACAGGGATTGAACCCATGCCCTCGGCAGTGAAAGCATGGAGTCCTAACCAACCACTGGACCACCAGGGAATTCCCAACATCATTCTTAATGGTGAGTTATTGAAAGCTTTCCCCCTAAAATCAGAAATGAAACAGGGATGCTCACTCATACCACCTCTATTCAACATTTTACTGGAGATTTTACAGCAGTAAGAAAAAAGAAAAAATACAGAGCACAAAGATTAAAAGGGAAAACAATAAAACTGTCATTATTTGCAGATGACATGATTAAGTAGACTGAAAAATCCAACAGATCCACAAACATTGAGAATTAATAAGTGCCCTGAGCAAGGTCATGGGATACAGAGGCAAACTACAAAGAACCATTGTAGTTCTATGAACCATCAATGATCAAATGAAGAATGAAAAATTTTAAAAGATGCCGTTAACAAAAGCCATAAAAAAATCAAATGTCTAAGAGTAACTCTAACTGGACATATGCAAAACCTCTACACTAAGAACTATTAAAAGACTGGGAGAGATTAAAGATCTAAAATGAAGGAACAGATGATGTTCATGAATTAGAAGATTCCGTGGTGTTGTCAGTTATCACTATATTGATCTATAGCTTCAAAGCAACCACAATCAACATCCTAGCAAATTATTGGGGGAAGGGTGATGTTCACAAGCCAATTTTAAAAATTTATATGAAAATGCAAAGGGCAAGAAGAGTCAGGCACTCTTGAAGAAGAATAACAAAATTTGGGGACTTATCATTTATCAAGATTATTATAAATGTATAGTTATTAAAACAGAATTATATTGGCACAAGGATAGAAAATAGATCAATGGGACAGAGAGTCCAGAAACATATGGGCACCTGATTTATGACAAAGGTGACAGTGAGGAACAGTGGTGAAAGAGTGCTCTTTTAAATAAATGGTGCTGGGTCACTTGGATATCAATATTGAAAAAAAAATTAATCTTGACTCTTCTCTCACATCATATACAAAAAGTCAGTCCCTGATGAACTGAAGATTTAAATGTGGACTTAGATAGACCATATATCTAAATGTGAAAAATGAAACAATGAAGCTTTTAAGAGAAAACAAAGGACCTTGGGGTAGACAGATATTTTTTAAACAGGACACAAAAAACACTAGCTATAAAGGAAAGAACTGATAAGCTGAACTTCATGAAACTTAAGAACTTCTGTTTATCAAAAGACATCATTAAGAATGAAGAGGCAAGCCATGGAGAGAGATGTTTGCAATACAAATATCTGACAAAAGATTCATATCAGAATCTGTAAAGAGTTCCTACAGATCAATAAGAA